GCTGCCCAGCTCTGCTCGCCTTATTTTACCTCTGCTGCCCTGAGTGACACTAAGCAGATAAATACGTGGCTGCACGAAATGGTTCTCAGATGCCTTCAATTTGTAGATGACCTGGCTTTCTTTGTTTTAAGAATTCTCTCTTTTTATAACCAGAATAACATTTTAAGTTATTTTCCAGGAACTCTAGGGTGTCAGGCATCAATTTATTGAAATATTATGTAGTTTATTTATTGGCAATAACATTCAATTATAACACCCAAAGGGCACAAGATGCCAATTAAGTATATATTATAATATTTAAATGTTCAGTGTGGGAAAATAAGAATGTGTGGTCACTGGGAGCTATAAGTCCATGAACTGCAACAAGGATCTTGAAATGCAGGTAGTATGGAAGGGAGCAAGGGAAGGGACAAAGAGGAGGAAGAAGAAGAAAAGGAGATGTATTAGCTTGGGCTGCATTGCAATAACAAATAGACATTGTCATGTGATGATTTGTCAGAATAGAACTCTATTTCTGTCATCTAACACTCAAAGGTGTTTCCAGGACAGCAACAGTTGCAGCTTTGCTTTCTGTAGTCACCTTTCAGGGTCCCAGGTTGTCTGCCACTTTTCTGCCTTTAACACGTGGCTCCCAAAGTGGACCAGAGGTTGTTAGATCAGTCGGGCAGGTGCAGGAAATGAGGAAGAGTTCCAATGCGAGCCAGGGCCAGGGCTGAGGTGGTCAAGTGCCACTTCTGCTTGCATCCCATTGGCCAGAAATGAGTCACAAGACCACATCTCACTGTCGGGGATGCTGGGCAACGAAGTGTACCTGTGCGCTCAGAGGGAGAGTAAACAGGCTTTGTCTGAATGCTCATTCTCTCTTCCACGAGAATGGGGAACGGAGTCAGTATGGCGTTAATTGAAGTATTAGCAGCCAACATTTATAAGAAAAAAGTAGTTAATGCCAATTGAGATGGAAAACAATTTACAGTTAAAAGTGATTTTGCTCTTCCTCCTTGCTCTGTTGCATCTGTGCTATCTTTGTCTGCCATCATTGCATTTCCTTCTTCTCCTTCTTCTGGGCAGAAGAGGTCCCCTCTACTCAATCCACACAGTTTTGGTGAGGACGCCCCTGGCAAAAGAGAATAGAGCTTTAACTTAGCCTGGGCCCCAAAGAAAGCGTGGTCGGTGCTAATGGCTGACATGCAGGTAGTTTATATGGGTAATGAGCCCACGCAAGAGGAACGAGGAGCCAGGGGAATAATGAGGTGAAAAGGGGAAGCCCACTCGAGGATGTGGTACCATGGCAGACACCCCGCTGTGGGGACTGTGGTGTTGTGCCTGTAGATGGGACTGGGGAGCCCCTATCCGTTGGTTCGCTGAGGTTCTGTCTGTAAGGCTGGCGGAAATAGCCTGAGGACTGAGCGCTGCAATAGTGACTAGAGTCAGAGGTGGGGACAAGAGGAGTGGCATTTGTGCTGAAGTGGTGCCTGACACGGGCAGGCAGCCCTGGCCTGGCTGCTCAGCACCCCTCCACCCACAGGGCACAGTGCCTGGGCACAGGTGTGCACCAGCCAGGCCAGGATGCTGGCGTTCCCTCTCAGCGCCGCTGTCGCAGGAGCTTGTTTCTCAGCTCCTTCCAAAGCCGAGCGGATGTCAGTGTGTGTGGAGAAAACCTGCCGGTAGACGCAAGGGGCCGGCAGAGCACCTGCCGGTGCCAGGGCTCGCCTCCGGCACCTGAGGTCCCTGAGCTGCGCCGATCCAATGCTCCTCCTCTCGTGCTGTGGCCTCCCTCCTGCCCATCTAATGCGCCCCCCAATTAAACCATCTCAACCCGATTTGAGTTGTGTTGCTGCCGGTTGCCACTGAAATGTACCTGGCCCCATGGAAATACAGAACTTGCTAGATAAAAGTGGAGTGGTAGCTATCATTGGCCTTTATATCCACAATGAGGTGACTGGAGGTGTTTTGTGGGTCGGGGGGATCTCAGCCCAGTGCCAGATCACCAGGCTCTGAGGGTCAGATGGTAGCAAACTCCGTGAAATGTGAAAGGATTTCCCCTTCTCAAGCAAAGGCAAGAGCTTTGAGACCCAGTGGGACGTGCTGGGGCTTAAGGGGACCTAGAGAGATGACTGCAAGCCTCCTTTCTGAGCCCCTTCTCATGCTCCCTGCTGTGCCTCTCCCCCCAGGCCTGACGTCTGGCATTCAGCCCTCATCTACCGTAAGTCACAATATACTGAAATACAGCCTGCGATTGGGGGCAGGTGAACTCCGCTCAAAACTCTTTGGTCACCGTGCCCCAGGCAGGAGGCTAGAGGAAGCCGTTACGCTGGGCCCCTCGGCAGAGGCCGCCCTGTGAGTCCCGCTTCTAAGAGAAAAGTGGGGCCAGATACAATCCGGTCCAAGAAGTATGACTCGGCAGGATTTCTGGCGCTGGATTCTGGCTAACAGGGCCGCCGAGCCAGGTCCTCGAGGAGGCGTGTGCCCTCGTGCCCCGAGCGGCCAGTCAGGGCCTGGGTGACAGTCCTGGTGACAGTCAGCAGAGCTTCATCCATGCATTTGTGTCTAAATCAAGTTAGCAAACTGCTAAGTGAGTTATATCCTACCCTCCTCCCTCAATGAATATGCCTTCATAAGAATCTGAAAAGTCAGCTTGACACTGGGAATTCTCAGGCTATTTGGAGTTCCTGTGCAGAACAGGGCAGTGCAGGAGGGGCCGGCCTAGCCCTCCAGGATCTCAGCCCCGCCCCCAAGCCTGTGGCCTGCACGCTTCTCGCCCAACGCCACTCTACACCAGCGGTGCATGCACAGGAGGCGGCCACATCACGCATAGGTCCATTTACATCTCTGGCCCCCACAAACAGTGGCCTCTGGAAGAGAGGTCTGTGCGGGTCCCTCAAGTGGGCTCCAGATCATTTGGATAGGAAACCCCAAGTCCCAAGGACCTGAAAGACCATCTGCTATGAGGGGCGCAAGTTCCAGGAAGGCATACCCCGCTGGTCCCGCGGACCCTTTGCCCAGGGGAGGGGCCCAGTCAAAGGCGTGGGGGGAGGGACCCAGGGCAGGGCATGCGCACCTTGCCTGAGCTGAGGGTGTTGGCCTCATGCCAGGCTCTGGGACTCCCCCCCTAGAGCGGCTCTGGGACCAGGAGTGCTTTGCCGTGTTCAGTGGGCAACCCTTATGTCCTTTCAACGAAGCCCCTAGTGACTGAAACCAGTTTGACAGGTCTCTGCCGCCTGCAACTGAAAGAATCCCTATTAATAAGCTTTCAATGGCCAAAGTCTGGGGCAAGTGGTCCGTAGTCAGCGCTTCCATTTTAAAGTGCTAATTCTCACCATCACTGCCTATCACTGACCTTGTCCCCCCAGCACTCAGGCAGACCGTACTGTAGAAAGTCATGAGTCTGATGGCCTGTCCTCTGTCCCCAGCTATTGGTCTACTCTACAGCGTCCGAGTATATCCAACTTGCCCTTCTTTTTGAAACCTTCTCTCATGTTAACTCTGGGATAACGGACGAGACATCCGTCCTCCTCGGTTTCAAACGGCCCCCTGTCAATGGCCTGTGGCTGCCCCGTTCCCAGCTGCAGGTGTCCTTCCAACTCCAGTCTTCCTCCCTGGGCGGAAACTGCATCCGAAAGCCACTCACCAGAGTCATTACCTGAGTCACAATGACGCTTACTCTTCCGGAAGAACTCATACCCTCTCAGCGTCCCCCCCTTAAAGATGGACCCGATTTCTAGCTTCCTCCCTAACCTTGGTTCCGAGCCTGACGTCCATATCTTCGCTCACTGGCTATTTCCAATTTGGTTTTCCAGTTCAGTAATACATCTAAGACTGAAATGATCATCCCCTGTAACTGGGTCTCTCCTCTTTTTGCTGATTTTCTTTAGTTTTGTCAGTGACTCATTCTCCTAGGCCCCAGGTTCCAAACCAGTGGTGCCCTGGATTCTGTCCTCCTTTTCCTGCCACGAAGTCTTAGTGGTCCTTTCTTTGCAAGATGCTTCCTACTCATCCTTTGTTTTCAGAGCCCCTTCTATGTTCTTCTGCTTCCAGTTCCTGTTCTGATCTAATTTATCTTCATTCTATGACCGCAGTAGTTCTACTAAAATTATTTTTTGCATGACTTTTTTTTTCCTGCTCAGTAATTTTCAGTGTATCACTATGGCCTAAGGAAAAGTCCACACTTCTTGGTCTGACACCTAGTTCCTGCAAGATGAAGCCTCTACCTTAATTTCCATTGCTTTTGTCCACTCTGCTTCAAAATGAGCTCTTTGTCCCATCAGCCATGGTTCCCAAACACAAACTCTCCATTCCTGTATCTCTGCCTTCTTCCCTTCTTCTCCACTTTCCCACTTGAAGGCCACCCCCACCTCTTCCCCCTCCCTGACCCCGGCCGATGAAGATCCAGTCCCTGTGCCCACACCAGCCCGCAGTGCTACCTTCCTCATCTGCACCTGTCTGTGGTATTTGTTGAACACGTTTACTGTCTCGAGCTGTGGCCTGCATTTGTTCATGCCAGAGTTGCCTTTCAACAGACTTTGGTTGGTGTGAAAGCAGAATCCAAGCCTCTCACTTTGGATTTTCCATTCTCTGCATTCTCACACACCCAGTGCTATGCATGATGAGATGCTTCAGAGATTTTACTTTGTTATTTCTTTGCTCTGAACTCTGTTTTGCCATATGATACTGGTATTGTGGAGGATAAAGACATTGGTGGAAGACAACTAAACACGCGTGAGTTTCTCTCTGCCCCTCCCCATCACACTAAAAAGTGTGACCCCTTCCTCTATCCACTGTCTTTGCTTTTGAGGAATGGTAGATTATTTTCCTTTTTAGGAAACAGTATTACATTCTGATAAAAAGTCCTCTTGTCTACAAATCTCTCTCACCTTCACTTTTCTCTGAACGTAATTTTAGATCCTGGCAGATCTGTTTTTGAAGTTCAAAGAGCAAAAAATCAGCAGACTCAACTGCATATAAGAAAAGACAACATGTGGTAATCCTTCTTTCTTTTTATTGAAAAGGAATCATTTCTATTCTAGCGCAAACAATGTATATTTTACATCATAAAGCAAGATATAATTTACATATTACATTTCTTATGAGATCTTTATACCCTAAAAAGTCATTCCCTTTTTTATTCGGTCACTTCTTCTGGTTCCATTTAACCTGCAATGTACCCCAGAAATCAGCATCTTGTTTGGGAGGGACTGGGGACACACACAGACCGATTGTATGCTGCTTCATCTGCGTGTAACGATGGTGAGGGACAGGGGTTTGCCTTTGAACTCTGTGGCCCTGAGGCCCTCTGTTGACACCTAGCTCAGGAGCCAGAAGGCTACTCCTCCAAATCATACATGAAACTTCTGCTTATATCAAGTCAGCAATAAATGAGCAACACTGAGTGCTTATACCACGGGCATACTTCTTGATCAAGTGCTTAGATAATGAAAGCTTGTGTTGTACATTCCCCTACAATGCCAGCTCCTCCGGGCACCCAGCACTGGCTCCTCCACAGTCTTCCCAGGCATTCTTGCCGAGGCCGTGGATAAAACTGCCCAGCTCCACCTACCACTGGGGCTATGGGTTCAGGCTTTTCTGTTCACCACTGAAATGGATGTCAGGATAGAAGCTTTAGATCACTTTGGTTCGCATGACCCTCTATCTCTTGACTCCCTCTTCTAAGGCTGCACGCCCCCTATAAAAAATTTTTTCCTGTGTGATTCCTGTTCCCTGCACTATAATACAAAGCCTCTTTAGTTGTTCTGCCAGGCCCTAAACTCCAAAAGTTCACCAGCTTCTTGGATTGCACTGATTTTGCAAAGAACATTTTAACCTGTGAGGATGCACCGTTCCTTTGAACCTCAATGATTTACAGCAGATAATGGGACAAAAGAATTAGTCTGGGGACCCTTTGGGAAGCGTGTTATGTGTGTTGTTCAGACAGCCTGCATGAACCGTTCAGTAAGAAATGTTTGAACAGCAGGTGAAAAGAACAGGGAGTCAGTTGGCAAGAGCAAAATGGGCTTCCTTCTTGTTACAGAAAAAAGTACAGAATCAACATTCAAAATACATTTTCAGGTTGATGGCTGTTTGACTGAAAAAAATACTACCGTTAACTCGATCTACTATGCCAAGGCAAATGACAAATACGTGCTCAAAGTGCATCTTTAACCCCAGGTTCCTTGCCTGTCACTCAAAGTTGACATATTGGCCAAAATCGATCTCAAGTTTTTTAATCTAACTAAGATAACTAAAATTATTAGAACCAATCTGGTCAGGATGAAGATATTAAGTTGAAAATGTGTCTGCTCTGTGTATCTTAAATTATTCTTTAGAAATCACAGATGATGTGATTTCTGAGAGGCCTGTAAATATAAACCTATTTCTCATTTCCAAATGCGAAAGTTCTAAGTATTTACAGCAAGGTAGCATTTCCTTGCTAGAAAACAAGGCTTCCAGGTACCGTATCCTTCCATTAGCCTTGAATACTTTCATAGATCCCCTTCCTCCCATGGCTACAAAGTGCTGGACATGCAGAGAGTACAGGAAAGAATGAAGAAGCAAATGAATAGGGCCTCACAACACCCCTGTGAGGTAGGTAAGCATTGTTAAACCCATTTTACAAAAAGGTAAACTGAGGCACCGCATGGTAATATGATTTGGTCAAGTCCACCTGACAAGTTACAAAAGCACAGCTGGAAATTAAGAGAAAGAAACAAAGAGAGGTCAGCCCTGGCTCCCAGCCCTGGCCACCACACTGTATTTCAAAAAAGTAGAAAATAAAAAGAGCCCATAATTGCCTTTTTTGAAATGTAGATAACCCTTTAAGTATTCCACTTCAACATGTGTCTTTCAGATTCCTGTTGAGTAGGAAAAGGGCAGCCACCAAACGGCAGCGTTCCCTCCCCCTCTACGTGCAGGACTGGCCAGGACAGAGGGGCGTGGCACCCAAGTTCAGGCAGCCAGCTCGGGGGCGCGCTTGCAGCCTCACTTCGCTCCCAGCTTACTGAAAGCCCTACTGCGAACAGGAGACCTGTTCTTGAAGAGCTGCCCTGGCCATTGCTCTGTGGCCTTCAGGAGAGTTCTGTGCAGAAGAAGAAAGGAAACAAGATCCCCGATCGACCGTCTCATCGCTGTAGAGCTAGTGACGGTGGAGACGGTGTGAAAGTCACGTTCTGTTGTGTGTGAGAGCCTGTAAACTCAAGCTTGCAAGAATATTTTATATAGATATATAATATATAAATATGTACAGCATATATATAAGTGTGTGCCCGATGACCCTAGGGCACCAAGGGTTAGGGCACGCCTTTCACGACTCGTCTTTGTTTTCTGAGAGACATTTCTCTCCCTCATTCAAATGAAAAATATTCCTTGTAGCAAATAGCCCATGACAGCAACCCTTTCAAAAGCAACAAATATCATTAACTGAAGATGGCTGATTGCTAGGATGGGGGTGAAAGTGATGTGATTGATAGCTTAGAGCGTACACCTAGAGATTCGGTCTAGAGCTTATTGCTTAGAATCGGCCAGACAGGCCAGTGACGAGATGATGTGCACAGTTGCTTTTTCCTCCACAGCAGCTGCCGGGAAAAACCTTCCCATAACCAACAGAGATGGAGACAGGGAGGAAGGAATCGTGTCTGGCACAGATTCTTTAGAGAGACTTTGGTTTTTCAGAAGTTCCTAGAGCTTCTCTGTACAGGGGGCTGGGAAGGAGGGCGGCTTAAGGCACTGAGGTTTAAACACACCAGAGAGGAGGCTGTAGGCAATTACTCGGAATATATATATATATATGTATGATTTCTTGGGCTGCTGTAGACTTTTTAAAAACCCATACAACCATGGGGGTGGGCGGGCTGAACCCAACTGAAGAAGCTCGGAGTATATGAAGCAAAGCACGGATAGAAGGAAGGACAAAATGAACATGCCCAGGAACAAGTGGCGCTGGACTCCCAGGGGAGGAGGAGCATGTGTTAACTAATTTTCATTTGTCTCCTCGCCTGCTCTTCTCTGCCATGGTCCCAATATTTTAGTTCTGTTTTTTGGTTTGTTTGTTTTTACTTTTTTTTTTCCAGCAGATGAAGAAATGACAGAACAGGATAGGTGTCTTATGGTTTTTTGGATTTCTTCTTAGGCCTGTTTAATTATTTTTTTCCTCAGTTGACTGTTGGCACCTGGTTCCTCTGTAAACTATATTCCTTGGCCTTCAGTCTCAGGTTGGCAATGCTGTTGGCCATGTTGATGCCCTGTGCAGGGCTATTGTTGGCACATGTGGCAGAATAAGTAGCCATGGCACTGTAGGGACAAAGGAGAGAGCAGGGAGAATAACAGGCATTAGTTTCATGAAGCTGCAAGTCTGTGCCCCAGGGGGGTGCGGCTCTCAGGATGGGGGCCGGCAGGGCAGGCAGGGCCTAGGTGACCTCTGAGGTCCCTCACAGCCCCAGGTGTCCATTTGTCTAGGGCTCTTGGGAAAAGGTGGCCATGTTTTGAAGAGCAGGGGAAAGCAGGGGAGAGTGGGCCGAGGGGTGGGCTTGGGAGAGGCATTCTCTGTGTCGGATACAGTGAGTCATGATTTATTTCTGGGGGGAAAGGAGAAAGCTGCTTATGTGGAATAGCAGGTGTATGATCAGCTGACCAATTAAAACTGTGCAGTCCCTCTTCCTGCCTCCATCCCTGGCCTGCGGGAGCCACGAGGGAGAAGAAGCAGCGTTTGAAAACAGGCATTTTGCCATTCTCGCTCTAGGAAGCTGACTTCCATTCTAACACATTTTAGATGATCGATAAATACCGTCTTAAATACTGTGCTTAGTGGATCAGTTCAACAGCCCAAGATAACCTCTCTGCCGCTCTTGATTCCCTGGTTGGTAGCACTGAGCGTCGCCAAATCCAGAGGTTCCCATCCCAACTGGCCTTGATCTGCTAACTTCCCAAAAGGACTTGAGTAGCTCTGGGTGCTGCCTTTTGGGTCAGTTACTTTGGAAATGTTTCAGTCTCTGGGATAAACTAGCAAAGGTTTTGGTTTCAGGATTCCTGGCCTGTTTCTCACTGTCCATATTGGTGAGAAAAACCTGGAGTTTTGTGTGTTGTTGTTGGAGATTGTAATTAAGACCTAGGAATACCGCCGGGAAGAAATTTGTAATTGGTGGTTTTCTGTTACTTGCATCCATATATTTTTTTAAAGGAAAAAGTAATGGTTTCTGAGACTTGGATGCAAATTATTCATTACTTTATATAAACAGTTACAAGGGAAATCATTTTAATTAAGTGAAAATGTTTCTAGTTGTTTCTAAGATTAGCAAAATCCCTTTCAACTGAGATAGACTTACAAAGGGAATGACGCATGCTCTTCCATGGCCTGCGTGCCAATGCAATTTTGTCAGCCGCACAGGAGTTTGTGGTTCTGGGGATCGGGTGACAGACCAGAAAGGGAGAAAACTAACGCTACTGTACACGTAAAGCGACTGTATCATTAATACTTATTTGGGACACCGCAGCGTCAGACTTGTAGTCAAGGCCCTCAGCAGCCTATTTCAGTTCAGTTACTAGCAATTAACTCAGCAAAATTAGCTTGAAGAAATATAATGAGTCCCAGATCACTTGATCTTTCCAGGAATACGCATTCTTAATTTAAAATCTTATAGCACTGGGGGTGTGTGTGTGTGTGTGTGTGTGTGTGTGTATGTATCTTAAAGCAGAAGGAAGAAGACTCAGAAGGGCTGTAAAAGGTTCTTAAGTCCTTGTATTGCATCATTGCCTGCTTCATTCTTACTCATCTAAGGACTGGTGATCTTAACTATCTACGCAAAGTTAGGTTCCCCGATAGCTCCCTGTGCTTTTCCTTTTAGCACTTATTTTCATTCCTCAACTGTAAGCTCCACAGATCTGACACCACATCTGCCCTATTCACCTCTGTCTCCCTGGGTAGAGTTAACTTCCTGTCCACCACACACTTGGCATTTAATAATGTATTTAATGAATAGATAAGTAACTGAGAAATATGTACAAGAAGTATGATTAAACTGATTCCAGCTCCATGTCACTTTTCTCTGTCATCCCACTGTGAGTAATGATTTCTAAAAATATTTCACCAATATGCTTTTATTCTTAGGAACGATTCCTGCCTGTTAATTTTGCTGACTTAACAGAATGTACAAAATCAGAAAGGGTATGGCAAAAACAGGGGCAGGTGATTGCATAGCCTTAAACCCATCAACAATTGCTTTTAACATAAAAAAAAATTGAACAAATATGAATGAAAGTTAGACTTACAGAATAGACTATTGCTTCTACCACTGTCTACCAAAGACAGAGGCAGAAAAAGAGATCCCAGTTAAGGTAGATTTCAATTAGGAGTGAGAGAAATGACCAGAACAAGCCATTAAAATGGAACAAGTTCTTTTTTTCTTTACAGTATACCAAGAAATTTCATTTGTTTTCTAAACTCACATACTCTAATAATCACTTAATTCCTATATGAATTGCACACTTCCATTCGAGAACCTGCCAGAAATATGTGCGAATCCGTAAGTCTTCTACTCAAGGAAGTTCTAGGATACACTAAAATCTAAGTTTTCAAAGTAATCAAAGATGTAAGTTGGTAAGAAAAGAGATCACTGGATTTGGGAAATGCACCTACGTCACAGATCACAAAATGGACCAAATCAGGCTCTCGCAGCCAGGTCTCGGTGAGAGGGTGAAGCCCAGAGCGTGGACACAGAGCCATTGAAATGCACAGGAGAGAGGCTGGAGTTGCGAGTTGTCTGCCTTATTTGTCAAGTACCGAGAATGAAATTGGACAGCTTCCTAAAACAGAAGACTAAAACTTCTGGCAAGAGCACTATAAAACTGAAATCACTGCAGTTGCAGTTTCAGTTTGATCTTTCACGGAACCATTGTTGCTGGAGTTTCTACGCAGTTTACGAATATCACCTGCCATTCTAGTCTGAAGACTGAGCATGGTAACGCGTGTCTTGAAAGCACTGAAATCCTCTCTTTAACGTGGGCCAGATAATCACACTCTGAATGAGAAAAACGCTGCTCCACTTCCCCCTCACAACCACATTGGTGGCTGTCAACGTTCTGTCTTGCACAGGAGGTCACATTTTCGTGGAGGTTACTTTCCCTCAAGCGGCAGCTGGTTAGCAGAGTTGAGGACAGCCCCCTGTCCGCTTGTGCGGCAGGCTATTGTCAGGGCGCCACCGGCTGAGTGAGACCTCAAACTAGTGGGGCCACAGCGTATAAAAGGGGTTGATGTTCATGAGTGAGGTTTGCAGTTTGCTTGGAGCTTGGCAAATGACACCATTTTCCCTTGATACATGTTCAGGAAAGTTAGAAACTTTCAAAAATTGATCTAACCTATTCCAGTATTGCATAGCCATAAGAAGTCAACTAAGAAAGTCTGAAGTCGCAGCCTCTTAACAAATGCTTCAAATATCTAACTGTACAAGTAGATACTGCTGCGAGATTTTGTGCACATACTAAAGAATCACAAATTGGTTTTCCCTGAGTACTTGGACGTGGTTTTAGTTTCTCAACTTGAACTAGAAGCACCAGGTAGGCAAGCAGGGAGCAGTCCATTGATGCGCTGGTGACAAGCAGGACTTGTCAGTGAGTGGGTCCTCCGAGCGCGGTTTTGTCATGCTTTAAAAGCGGCATGAGGAGTGAGATGGAGGGGACCCGCTTGCAAAAGGACAACAGGTGCCACAGAGCCTTGAGCGGCTGCCAGTCAGACTGCTCCCAACCACCTGTTTTCCCTGTCGTCAAAGCTGATGCCCTGTGGTAGGCAAAGAAACGACACCCTGACTTGCCTCCTCACAGGACAGAAGCCAAGGAGGGCAGCAGGCTGATTGCGGCTGAACTCATAGGACCATTCTAACCTGTAAAGTGGCCACAGCTTCCTCTGCAGGGTTAAGCCTACTGGGACAAACAGCTGAGGTGGAAACTCATGACGTGCCTGGATTAAGCACAGGACCACGGCAAGGGCCTGCTGCCCAGCACCCAGAGAACCCGCCCCTGGTCTCAGCTTCAGGAGTCAGGAGCACGTACTCCTCTAACAGGATGTGCCAACACTTCCATTTAGTTTTTAAGAATGTCAAATTCTTTGTGTCCACCACCAAGAGACTCTGTTGCCGAATAAAGTGCACTGAAGAATTAGAGGTGAAAAAGAAGCGCTCATATCCCTTATGTCCGCTCCGCAAATCTACCCAACGCCTCGCAGCGAGCGGACCCATGGAAGTGAGAGCGAACGTTTCCCATCCCCTTATTTGGGGCTGCCAAACAGAGGGACTCAGCCCTACATAGCCGTGTGCTAACCACCAGCGGGGGCAGAGTTCTGTTTTCACTGGGGACAAACCATTTTTGACGATTTCAACCTACTCTGAAAGGTTGTCGTGAGAAAGAATGTGTTACAATGGCTGCCACACACCAAGAAGGTATGGGAAATATGATACATGATATGGTTTCACAGCCAGGAATCTGCCCCTGGCTGATCCCCCTGAGTGTTAGTCCCATGAGTCACAAAACAATCAAGGACAATGGGGGGAACAATAACACCAGACTTGGTTTTCAACTCTAATCATGTTGTTCTATTAGGCCCTTTTGGACAAACGGTGGCAAGATTCCCCCACCCAAGACAGATCTGTTAGCCCAAGACGCCTGTGTGCTTTCTGAGATCTAGCATTTCCCAGCTCAGGATTGTCCTGAAGGCTAAGGAGCTGGAGGTGTTCACAACTCTGTCTGTGACATGTGGGCATTGGGGATTGTCTCGTAGTTTTGTTCATTTGTCAGTGCAGGAACAACAGAGATATACTTGCTCCATCTAAGAAAATTCAGTATGAGTTTTCCTAGGGAAATTTACTGTTAGAGAGGGACCCCCCTAGATCCTCGTGGAAGTGATCTTTTGTGAGTCAAATAACCACTTTTAAAATTCAGGATTTTAAAATTAAAAAAATGACTTTTAAAAATGTATATTCAGCTCTTAAAGTAGACACACTTGGACGCTATTTCGTTGGTAAGCCTTCAGCTTGCACTGGGTGTTCAGGGACCCTTTTGCCATTTTTAACTTTTCTTTCTGGGGTGTTCTGTCTGGAGCCTTGCATCCATCCATTGTCTCAATGATTTTCCTACATCCTTTTTGAAATGCACATTGCTTACCTATCCGTTCCAAAGCCCTGGGGAGACAGTTAATAGGAGAACTTTAGCAGCTCAATCTTAGAGACAAGGTTATGTAATAAATAGATGCTCCAACTGGCCTGAGGACAAACACGTAGCTCTCCCGACCTCTGCCCCGCACCCCTGCAGTCACATAAAGCCTTGCTATGCCATGTATGTCCCAGGCGTCCACAGCACGGCATCCCTGAGCATGCGTTAGAGCCGCAGAGGCCAGGCCTGCGTTGTAGCGCGGGCCTTGGTGATCCTCACAGCTCATAACTTTTGAGGAACCCTGCTCTAGGCTTTCAGTGCTCCCTTAGCTAGGGCCGCATTTCCTTGCAGCTCCGGTCGGTTCCCAAAGGGACTCCCCACTTGAGGACCTCCCTGCTTTCATTTCTAGGACTGCGAGCCCCACTTTCTGAAAGGCTTATTTCCCACGTAAGCCCTGCCCGCAGCCACCCTCCTCCCCTCTGACAAGTTACCTTTGCAGTGTCTTCTGTTAGAATCCGTTATGAAGCCCCTCGTGTAAACAACATCTTGGGAGGGACGAGGATCTAGTTTTGAAAGCGTGAAAGGGAGAAATGAGCCAAGTGCGTTCAGCAGGTGTCCGTGACCACGACCCAAGGTGGGGGGTGGAGGAGGAGGAGGGGAGAGGAGGGAGACTGTGGACAGGGATGGCCGGCTTCCCTCTCACTTGTCATGAGTTCTCCTCGAAGCCCAGCCCCCCAGCTGGGCCCTGCAGACCTGGGCTGCCAGGCCAGGCCGCTCTGTGCCCCTCGCAGGAGGGGTGTCTCTGGGGAAAGGCGCTAGACGGCCGCCTTGACAACAGTCCAAGGTCCAGGACCTGGGTCCTCGGTGCCGGCCCAGGGGCCAAGCACTGCAAGATAGCGAGTCTTGGTGATTCTGGTGCTGGGTGGCTTTTCACCTAAGGAACAGTTCTGAGCTCCACAGCTGGCGTGTGTGCCAAAAACAAGCTTTCTTCAACTGGCTGCAGGGAGATAATGGAGACACCTGCCGGGACGGGGCCCCTGAAGGGGGGATGCTTTGCTCCTTCTGGGAACCCAGTTCCCTGCCTGACATCATCACCTCTGACAAGCTCAAGGGACCGAACAAGGCCATGACGTGCTAAAAATAGTGTGAATCCTATGTCCCAGTTTGCCAGGGATGATCCCAGTTTAATGCCTGTTTTTCTAGTGTTAATAGCATTCTCCTTTCACACTCCAAAGTGTCCCAGTTTGGATGATAAATTCTACAACCACCACTCTAGACCCAGAAAAAAATACGTTGACTATTTCCCATCCCGTGATCCCGACCGTAAGCATGCAATGGCTTTGAGTCTTGGTTTTTTCCTCTCTTTTCAAGGGAAAAGCCATGGAAGTCAGCAAACTACCCTGCCTGACAAAACTGTCCACTTGCCATCTTGGGTGGCGTGGCCCAGCCTCATCTGTCTTCCCCAGGGGATGGACATCCACATACCTCAGAAGGTGGGCCTTAGCTGCAGGCATGCCCCAACCCATCGGGGACAGACCCCGCTCTAAAGGGCATGTTTCCATAGGTTCCCAGTCTTCTCCTTCCCACTATTTTCAGTATAATGTCAGGTTTCATTTAAACAAAATTATGGCCAGCTGTCCTCACACGCTGGACAGGGGTCCCGGGCACTGGGTCTGGCTGTGCCCACTGAAGGCTTAGCCTTGGGCGAGTGCTCAGCCTCTTCTCTGGAGCCACAGCAAGGACAGAGCTAGCCCACAGGATCGTTCCAAGGGGTGACCAAGAGGTACCTTTTAATGAATGTCCCAGGTGGGGTGACTAGCTTGGCATAACAGTACCATCAGAAGGAGCGAGGGAATTTTCCATAACGCGAAAGCTCTATCATTTCCTTTGCTTTTCATCACTTGTTTCTCTGGTATAGTTCCTTAACAAGACTTACATTTCCTACCAAGCTTCAGAATGTATAATCATAAAATATTTTGGGTCTAAACATAGCAGAAAAATCTCCAAGTAACAGAATAGCTTTTTGCCACTTTTAGAAATTAATCAAAATAGAAACACTTCAGTCAACATTGGGTCAAAAACATTATTATTGATTAAATTACTGCTTTAAACCATCATTTTTTCTACTTATATCTGGAGATTAACTTACTCTTCATACAGAATATGAACAATCACATTCTATGAACTTTTTAATGAATTATTTTTTACAAACTCTGTATCTAAGAGAGAAATGATATAAAAGTATACCATGAAATGAGCAAAAAGTACTAGGTTATATAATTTTAAGTGAAAAGAGCAGAATACAAAATAATATGTACACTAGGTCTACACTATATAAAATATTGAACTCTAATTGCAAAAGTAAGCAAACTAGTTATGTCAAGATGGTGGAATTATGAGTATTTTAAAAATGTATCTAATATCTCTACATAATCTTTCAAATTAAAATAGAACATTTCCCAAAAAGGCACAGATAAGTTGCATGTTAATAATGTCAGTGAGATGCCCATATATGTAACACATATGGTACTGGCCCCGGGGCTTGAATTTCTGCCCAGGTCCAGGCATCTAACTGATAGAAATTCAGGATGGATCTCGTCCTCTCTCACGCCAGGGACTGCCCTCAGCCTCTCTCTGGTACAGACCACGGGACAGCCACCTGGATTGTTTACAGCGGGTGTGAAAAGTTCCTACCTAGGACTTGGGCAGGAGAGGGAGCAAGCATTCCTGGTTGTGACCAGATTCAAACCAGAGACTTGAAATGTCAAGCTTGGAACCGCAGCCATTTCCCAAGCCACTTAGCGGGTCTCTGAGCTATGGATATATATCAGAAAAACAAAGCCGTCTTCCACGTATTTAAAATACTAGAGCAGGTGATTTCACAATGGTCTTCAAAATGTGTCTTTAGTAAATTCTATGGGAGAGGAGTCTACATTTTAAATGGGACACAAAGATACGACTCATCTTTTGAAATCAGCAAGGCAGACCATGTCTGAGAGCAAGAAGAATTTCCAGTTTCCTATGCAGGAGGTCTCAATGCACAAAGACCAAGTGATTCAGCCTAATTGCACAATGAGGGATTGAAAAGAGATTTCTAAATGCATTTACAGTGCTTCTTTCAAGGAACTGATTTGGGACAGAGAGAACATTTAGGTGAGGCCTTTTGCTTTGATTAGAGCCATCAACTTTTGAAAAATGTTTGTATTTCACCAACTTGGCCTTTTACCCCAGGAGTTCAGCGTGGACTGGGGGGGGTAATCTCCTGTAATTAATTTAAAACATCTCCTTAAACCATTAGTTAGCTTTAACAATAAAAAGGTAACCAAAGCATAATAAACAAATTTGTAAATAGTTTTTTCTCCACTGCCATCAGCCAGAGGTGGCCCTGATCTGGTTTCTGAGAGAACCCAGGTTCAGGTTCAAAGAAAGGCGCCTGCACTGATGACCACGTGCTGGGCCCTTGCGGCTCATCTTCCCTCTGGCATTAGCCTGGAGCTTTGAACAGTGCAGTAAATGGGGCTTTAGAGCCTCTCCAAGACATTGACATAGTACTCTGTTATTTGCTTCTTTAAAAATATTTACCTTTTTAATATAAAAGCTTAGTGTACATTATACATTGTTTTTATACTTTAGAAAAGCCCACGCAAACAAACTGATCCCGAAAGGACCTCAGATAAGTAAATAAGAATTAGCAATAGACTAGGAAGCTTGGGATAAGACTTCCCACCTACTAACAAAAAACTGTGGCTATCAAAACAATCTTTGATTTTCTTTCCTTCTCTCTCTCTTCCTTCCCTCCCTCCCTCCCTCCCCCCCTTCCTTCCTTCCTTCCTTAGTTCCTTCCTTCCTTCCTTTTTTATCTTAATTCAAAATCAGTTTTACTCTGAGGTTTGCCCTTGGGCCTACACTTAAAGCCTTACAAATTCAAATCCTACTTGAGCATAGTAAAATGGATCTAGCTTAAATTTGGAAATGGAGTAAAGTCGTGTTCCAGAATGGTTGCAAGAGGGACTCTGAGCATAGCTTTAGTGATCTTTTCTTTTAGATTCTTTCCCATCTTTGAAACCTTTGCAAGAGTTCCTGAGTCCAAGAGGAGATTGTGGATGGCCTGCCCCCTCTCTTCTGCCCCACACCCCGCTCCTGGGGGCAACTAGTAATCTCCTGTGGAAATCTGGGGGTGTCAGCAAGTTGAATGTCTCTGAAGAGGTTAACCCAGTAAGAAATGCCAGCCAGCTGCCCGAGCAGCCTTGAACGTGCCCGAGCGCTGAGAAACGTGTGGAAGTGGAGCAAGGGGGAGTGGGCCAGTCATTCACCTGTACGGAGAGGCCGTCCCCCAGGAGAAATAATCGGTGGGCCTTGGAGCAGGACGAGGTACGATGGGCTGCTCCACGGCAGTCACGTCTCCTGAGTAGGATTTGAGCAGGGAAGCGTTTTTATTGGCCAGCATGGCTCTCTCATTCCTGCGGAACTTGGCTCTTCGGTTCTGAAACCACACCTGGAAGGTCGTTGGGAGGAGAGAAGGGCACAGGAGGGAGAAAGAAGAGCAGTTACACCAATGAAGGCCTGGGAGGTGTTCCTAGACAACGCGCTCCTGAGGGGGACACCGCGTGGGTATGGCATGCTCCCGAGAGCCACGGAGACGTGCTGGAGCCCTCCCCTGGTGGGCCGTGTCAGCGAGCGCTTGGGGGCGAGGACGCAACGTGACAGGCCCTCGAGGTGCTTCCGGTCATCCGGATGCCAGCGCGAGACCCATGACTGACCCACGAGCTAGCAAAACAGGGCTTAGGATCCCTGTTATAATTACGACCAAGAGAAAGAAGAAAAATCTCACACATGACTGCCACAGAGATGATGACATTTTTAAACTTCCTTCAAAATGCAAAAACTTCATCTGCTTTCATAATACTTAGGGGGCCATTTAAAGAAAATTCTTTGTCATCCCCAAAGTGGACCCTGTAATGAGGCTTTAAGAAGGAAATAGTTGGAGGGTGAAGGAGCAGCAGAGAAGAGCGGCCACTAAAGGGTGTGCTCCGTTCCCCTGGATGGCAGGGCTACCACAGGACCCCGGCTCCCACCGAGGGGCACGCCCTGCCACGGAGGGGCGAGAGAGCTAAGGATTTGCACACTGGCCCCGGTCGTCATTGCTTATCAATGTTCTGGCACTTCCGACACGCTGGACACAGGCAGGGCAGCACCTGAACTTCTAGGAAGAAACTTGTGGAACAGAAACAGAGACACAGCAGGCTGAAAGCTCAGTGGACCATGTTCAGTCGTAGGGCTGAGGGGAATGAGCAGTGCCGGCGGCATTGTGATCTGCCTCCTGTTTGCTATGGGCTGCCAGGGCCAGGAGCTCGTACAAGCACAGTGAGCCCACCATTTCTAGCTATCACAATAGTTCCTTATACTAGGCTTTCTTATGGCTATTTCTGAGTTGAGGAGGCAGGTTCAATGAGATTGAGCCATCTGTTGGAGTTCAGATAATAAATAGCCGAGTTTCTGAGCTCAAGGACATCTGACTCATGATCCAGGCGGCCATAGAGTTTTATTCATTCAGTTACTCATTCAAGAAACCTTTATGGAGGGCCTGCTGTGTTGCAGCTCTGTGCCAAACACTGGGGACACAGAGAAGAGACTTGGGCTCTGCTTGCTCTTGGGCAGCTCACAATCTATTAGAAGGCAAATGTGTAAATTTGAAATACGCAAAACAAGCATTTTAGTTGCAATTATAGAAATGCACGACAAGGTATGGGAGAAGGACATCCTATGGCGTAGAGTGGACTCTTGCCAAACTCTATGGAGTGGCATTCACAGAAAGTACCCTGAGACCGGTGCCCACGGAGGTCAGCAGAGGCAATCTGGGCACAGCTTTCCTGGCTCTGCAGACTCCCAGCCCTTTTGTGTGCATGGGCCCTTCACCTTGCTAATAGAGGTGTCATTCTAAATGCAAGTGTAATCCTGTTAGTGCCCTGCTCGATCTCATCCCCTGGTTCCCCATCACTCACAGAATCATATCGAAATGCCTTTTCATTGAACAAAGACCGCTCAGGAATGAGCTGTCTGTCTCCCAGTCCAGCCACAGCCTGCGCGATGCATGCCCCGTGCACCTGGCCCTCCCTCTTTCCAGCTCCAGCCCAGGCTCAAGTCTGTCGACGTAGTCAGTTCTGTCCCACCTACGTGTGTCACACCCAATGCCCCTTCTGCCCGTGCCATTCGTCCCTTTTGTCCAGGTGCCAAAAGACATAGCTTTCAAGTTTCCACTTTAACATCTCCTCCTCTGTGAAATGGTCATGGAAAGAACAGGACTTACAAGTCTAACAGAGTAGGATAAAAGTATTGGCTACAAGACTTTAAAGATGTGTCCTTAGATATTTATTTAATTTCTCTGACCCTTTGTCTCCCAATCTAATGACGATAATGATACCCCCTCTCAGGGTTGTTGTGACAGTTGGCACGGTTTCAGCGCTGACTGTACGTGGATTCGCTCTCTTTTTTCCCAGGTGGATTTAGTCATTCCTTCCTCTGGTCTATGACTGATTCTCTTGTTGTATTATTTGTTTAATCACCAATTCTTGAACATTCCTTTAGTGTAGGAATTATCTTACTATATCATAACAGTATGATATGCACATCTGTCATGTCTGACCCCAGTCTGTGACATCCCTAAGGGAGGGCCATGTCTTAGTCACCCCCGGAAACCCAGAGACAGCTCCAAGAGCATAATGGGTACTTGATAAATGTTTGAGGGGGAAAGTCAGTCGAAGAAGTAGAGAGATGAATTGTGCAAAGATGATAAGATATGGCTTCCAGCCAAGGGAACTTCACTGTCTAGTTGGGGAAGTTGGCCCACATACAACTCAATATAACGCACGTCATTTTGTGATACATGCTTTGCGTCTAAAGAAGACCAGAGTAGGGAGGGTGTGGTTCAGACAGGAAGGGGTGAGCCTTCACCGAGGAGGAATCAAGTCACGAGAGGAGTATCTGACCTTTTCGCACAGGAAACTTTCACAGCCCCAAAAGCCATTGGAATGTGGTAGGGTGAGAAAGGGGGAAGAAAGAATAGTTTTGACAGAGAAGAAAGCCATTTATTTGTGGCTATGATGGGGCCAAAATGGCTCCCAACCCCAAAATTGTTCTTTCACATTCTTTTTTTCCATTTCCAGGATTGCCCTGGCTGGGTTTCCTTATTTAAAATTCAGATCACCCCAGGACAAGTGGTACTTTCAGGTACTGTGGGTGAAAGTTATTCATTACTAAAAAAAGTTATTCAGGTACTATTGGGCTAAAGTTATTCCTCATACACTGCAGGCCAAGCCGGGGGCATAGAAGATGGTGGGGATGGGAGGAGAAAAGGGACTTGAGAGTAGAAACCCAGCGTGAGGGGAGAGCTGTGGTGAGGGGGTGGGGGAGGGGGGGCGGGCCCAGCTCCGAGGCTGCTTGCGGTGGGAGGGTGGAGAGACTGACGCAGAGCTCTGGCCCCAGGACGACTCGACTCTCACCCGAGCGAGGGGGATCCCTGAGCAGCAATGTGCATGCCTCCCACCACCTATCCTTGGGGCCCCCACGGCACCCGGCAACTGTCCCCTCCTGTCACCGACATTGTTTTTCTCCTGGAGAGCTCTTCTAGGTGAGGTCCCTGTTTCCCGTGGGGACACCTCTTGCATGTTTTCTCTTCAGCCTGAGGGACCACCCGGCCCCTTTCCCTCAACTCACCAAACGTCCCTCCCACGGCCCCATGTGCATTCATGGCACAGACGGAGCTCCCACCTCAAGGCCTGTAGGGTCACCCAAGGTCCTGGCGGGCTAGAGGGTTGTTATTTTCAGAAAGAAATCCTTCCAGCCAAACTGAACACAGATGTACAAACAGTAATTTCTTCAGGAAGACGAGGCAGACTGGGCCCACCACCCTGACCAAAACAGCAGCCGGCCACGGGCAACACGGAAGGCCATGAGATGGTGGTGTTCACGGAGAGAACAAAGTGCCACCTGGAAGGGCGCGCCGAGTCCCCCGTGGCGCCAAGAAGCGGGAATTCTGTGTCTGCGCATCTGTGCTCCAACCCTGGTTCAGCTTCTTCCTAGCTGTGTGACGTTGGGCAAAATACTTTCCCTGCGCTGTGCCTCAGTTTCCGCCTCGATCAGATGAGGAACACTAGCCGCGGCACTAAACTTTTGTGAGGATCAAACAGATTTGCTTGTGTAAAGAATTCAGAACAGGGCTTAGCGTGTAAGTTCTTGAGTAGTGTGAGTTCCATGGCCATAATTAGTGCTAATCACAGACTGTGTTATTGCTTGTCATGGATATGTCATGGCATTAATGTCAGAATCATTCTCTCTTGCCCTGTCTGACGCGGCCACAGAAACCCCGAATCCTCCAGCTGAGCCTGTTCTTCATGCAGTTTCCTAAGTGCATGGTCTTAATGTGTTCACTTCCCATTCCCACAGTGCCCACAACCATGTGTACTCAAAACACGTTCCCTGAAGATTTGCACATTCCCAGCGTCTGGGGAGGAAAACTGAGGTGGGGTCAGAAGGGTCATGTTTCTGTCCACCTTGGGAGTTCAAATCGAACTCTGGGGGGTGTAGAGTCAAGTGCCGAACTGGATGGTGTTTATGTCATGAATCTAAAAGTCTGGGACATGAGGAGGAGGAAGGTTTGTAGTGAGGTATATAGTCTCCCACTCCCAAAGGCATTCAGGTTGGTTTTTAAAAATACTTCACTGCCTAAAGAAACACAGCGATCCAAAGAGGACACACAGGTGGCCGATAGTCAGATGAAAAGGTGCTCAACATCGCTGATCATCAGGGAAACGCAAATTAAACCACAATGAGATACCAGCCTGCGCCTGTCAGAATGGCTACCATTAGTACGTCAGCAAACAAGTGCCGGCGAGGATGTGGAGAAAGGGGAGCCCTTGGGCACTGTTGGCGGAAATGCAGGTGGTGCAGCCACTGTGGAAAGCAGAATGGAGAGGCCTCAAGAAACTAAAAATTGAATTGCTTTATGACCCAGCGATTCAACTTCTGGAAATGTATCCCAAGAAACCCAAAACACCGATTCAAAAGACTGTATGCACCCCTATGTTCATTTCAGTGTCATTTACAATAGCCAAGATTTGGAAGCAGCCCAAGTATCCATCAGTAGATAAGTGGATAAAACAACCATGGGACATTTACACAATGGAATTCTACTTGGCGATAAAAAAGGAAGAAAAATTTTACCTTTTGCGACAGCATGGATGGACCTGGAGAGCATTATGCTAAGTGAAATAAGCCAGTCAGAGAAAGACAAATAACATATGATCTCACTCATATGTGGAATCCAATGAACAAAATAACCTAACAAGCAAAATAGAGACAGACTCAGGGAGCAGGCTGACAGCTGGGGGCGGGGGAGTGGGGGTACGGGCCGGTTAGAGGGGTGAAGGGATCAAGTGAAAAAGTAAAAAGGACTCGTGGACCCGTCAACAGTGTGCTGATGGTAGGAGGGAGGGGTGCGTGGAGGTGGAAGACGATATGGGCGGGATAACTGGCGATGAAAAGAATTACAATAAAAAATGAACTACTGGAAAAAAGAAACAAAGAGAAACTGATTCTGTCCTCCTGTGGTCCATTTATAATCCTAATTAATCAGCACAAGCTCCAGCTGACACCTCCAACCGTGTGCTCAGACAGTCCTCAGAGACGGGCCTCGGAGGGGAGCCCGGGGTTACCTGCACTCTGGCTTCGGTGAGGTTCACGCGGCGGGCCAGGTCTTCTCGCACGAAGGCGTCGGGGTAGTGGGTCCGCTCGAAGACGCGCTCCAGAGCCTGCAGCTGGCTGCTGTTGAAGGTGGTCCGGTTCCTCCGCTGCTTCCTCTTCTTCTTCTCCTCTGAGTTCAGCTGGTCATCTGGAATAGAAGACACTGAGGATAAGGAGCCAAAGTCATTTTGGGGGCCCCCACTCACACTTCTTCACTGTGTAGCTACAGCGAGGTATTATTTCCTTTGCTCCCATTGTTACCAAAGCATGGCCGTGGCCAAACACCACTTTTAGTGTGCAAATGTGGGCAGAGGTTCTCGGAAGACCCTGCACCTGGCGCCCCAGCAGCTCCGGGGCTTGGCGGTTGCTTTGAAATCCGGGGCCAGACCTGAGCGGTCAGGGGGCAGTTCCTGCATGCTCCCTAAAGCCTGCTTTGTCAGAGGCCAAAGGACAGTTTTGCTGCTGCCCTGCTCTATGGACTTCTCTGGAGCGGGGAGAAGACAAGAGGGTTGCTTTGGACCTTATTTGTCTCAGACAAGATTATGTTCATTCACATCGTTTCATAGCCGAGGAAACCAGCTACCCCTGGCCCCCTCTCCTCGACCTATCCACCTAAACACCGGCGCAGGCTCACCGAGGGAAGGGCACCCCCTCACCCGTTAGAGGGATTCCCACTGTGCTGGGTGCTCTCCTGCATTTGCTGCAGGCTCCATGCTGATGCCCAGGCCTCTGCCCCGGTAAGTGCTGTACGTACAGGACCATCGGCCTCGGGGACCGTGGCAGGGGACTCAGCCTGCCATCCTGTGAGAACTCAAGAACAGGGGTCTGCACTGCAGGACCTCTGACAGTTTCCCCCCAACACTGCACTCTAGGGTACGGACACCTCAGGGACATCCAGACAATCATGACCCCAAGTCCTCCCCTGTCCAGTTCCCTCCCTGATTTCCTCTGAGTTCCCCCCAAATATTCCCCCGGCCAGCTGATCGTGCAGCCTGTCCATGCAGGCCTCCCACCCCGCCCAGCGCAGGAATGTGGACGCGTGTGCTGAGTGCAATGCCAGCTCTGCTGGCACCCTGTTGAGCTGCCACGTGAGGCCCATGCCACCGCCGAGCTGAGCGGCAGAGATTTACAGCACCAGCTGCTGAGGCCCAAATCCCACGCCCGGCCTGACAGCCTGGATGCGCACTTCGCACAGCTCCCTCTCCCCGAAGACATCAGCCCAAAGAGAGAACGAGGGATGAGAGAGGATCGAGAGACGGCTCCTTACTCCACATTCAACAGGTAGCTCTCGACTGCTTTCCCCACGTGCGAAGTCTTCTGGAGTTCTCTGACCCTGAACACAACACACTGGGACTAGAGACTGCACGTTTCTTAAAGCACCTAGAAACCTAAGTGCTGGTTGAATCTGTTTTCAGGGAAAATGGGTGACGTTTCTTGCCTTTAAACACTGTTTCTTAAGGGGAAAAAACCCTGTATGATCTCAACCACATTCCTTGAGCTCAGAGGCCCTTGCGGGTCGTCCTCTCAGCTCTACGGTGGGTCGTGGCCCAGCCCCTGACCGGCTCTGTTGTACCTCAGCCAGGAGCTCAGCTTCAAAGGCACCGCCGTGACACTCAATAACAGGGTCAGATCGGTGGCATCTCGAGAATGGAGCCAGTTTAATTATCACGCTTTCTGAGACCTCTCAAGGCCTGGAATGTTCTAACCAGCGTCCCCGATTACACCACTATTAAGTTATTAGTGAAATGTGTTTACAACACCACCAATGCTGGAAGCAAGCACCTAGTTGCATATTTGGAGCCATTCCTGGTATTTCTATTCTCTTTCCCAAATTTCTTGTCTACAGCTCTCTATGTCTTGTCCTTCAGGCCCCTTTGGGCCATCCAGGCCTTAAGGACAACACCATGTCATATTCCTATCAGACAGAAGTCTGCACAAAACCCTTCGCTTCCGTACCTACCCCAGACTGAGACCAATTAGGCTGTAGGCTATTATTTTTAATCATATAAAGGAAATGCCTTATTAAGTCAATGTCATGATTTGCCTTCTCCGGAATAACCACGAAGGCTCAACCCCCGGTGCAGTTGTGTGAGCCTGTGACTTCATGGGCTGCCCAACTGGGACCGTGAACAAGGGTATTTTATGTTCTGTCCTTAGCTCTACAAGCCGCTACAGAACCTCCCAGCAGTCCTGTGCCATCTCCCATTGTTCATGTGAACCCCACTGCCTGTCCACCGCCACCCGTGGCTCCCCTGACGCGGGAGTCGGGGAGACGGGGAATTACGGTTTCTGACAGAATAAATTGCTATGACCTGAGACCATTCCGGCAAGAGTTTCCCAGCCAATGTTCTTGTTATTTTTAACAAATGAAAACACCAGTCCAGATCATGTTGAAGGCGAGAAGAGACGTATGAGGGACAGGGGTCCAGGGAGGCTGGGTCTGGCCAGTGTCCTTCCAAGTGTGAGTATAACAGAAAGAGACAGGAAGGAACAGCGACAGCTTGAGCGGCAGCCCTCGGCGCGTCTGTCTTTGCTCACCATCACCCAGCGCGAGTCCCCGGTTTCCCCCGTGAACACGTAAGCACAGCCCCCGCACAGCATCCGCAGCAGGACAGGAGAGGGACCGCTATAGTGGCTCACGGAGGCGGGGGGGCAGCAGAAGGACCTGTGATAAGCGCATCTGATTCTAGACTGAATACAAGGGAGACAGAGCAGGATGTTGCTATTGTTGCCAGAAGACAATCTTTTTCTGTGAAAACAGCCACAGTGAAGGCTGACCTTGAAACATGCTCTTCAAGGATACTGATGTCCAAGAGGACATCAGGGAGCATCTCATTCTTTGGGAATCTGAAGTGGGTGGAATTCACCGAGCTGCAAGATAAGCACAGGGACACGGCTGCAGTTTTACTAAGACCGTAATGCTTCAAATCCAGGGTGCTTACGGACTTCATGGATGACAATGAATCGCAAGCATGGAGTTCTCAACAAGCATTCTAATAAAAACGAGCACAATGACCTTAATTAACGGGGGGGAGGGGGAGATCATGAATTATAAAAGATTAGTACCACATGAATTCAGAGAAAGTGTCTAATCCAATCCACCCTGTTATTTGATGGATGCAGTGACTGCGACCTAGAAGAATAAAGTGATTTGCACCAAATAACAATACAAGACGTGGCGAGGCAGGACCCCTCATGCCACCCCAGTGCCAGGAGCAGACGACGCTGCACGTGCTGTGCGTGGCAGGAACGTGGAGCATTAGAGACAGAAAGAAAGAACATGGCCCTGGGGAAATTTTACTGGAAAGGCAGGTTTTTCCTTCCTAGTTATAGAAGGAGTGTCTAGGAAAGAGAGTCCATGTGGATCACCTGTTGTCGTTCCTACGCGAACAGCAGTTTGAAAATGCAACCACTGCCATCCAGAATAGCTACTTTGACCCAGGCGTTCTTGAATTTCCCTTTCCAACGGCCTCCGTTAAACACGTGCGGGCGTGCTCAGCACAGCAGAGCGGCCCCTCTTCTCCCCGCACCCCCGGGGGCGCTCTCTGTCGTTGCAGGACCCGGTTCAGAGTCTGTTTCCCGTGATGCCTCTCAGATCTTACCTCCCCTCTAAAACCTCGCCGATAACTCCATTCTCCAAATTCCTATATATAGTTTAATATAGAATCAAACACGTGGTTAAAATTGTGGTTGAATTCTGTGTAAAAGACTTGTCACCTCAATGCAGTCAGATATTCCTATAGAACCCTGGTGACTCATTGGAATAATTTCTAAGTTCCAATCACTCTTTTTAACAATATATAGCCAGTAATGAGGCTAACGTTATCTTTTGTCTGTTGGTAATTTTACCTCGGGTGGGGGGTGGAAGGGAACGCCTTTTACTGTGTTTCTTTTTTCAAATACATTAGTCATCAGATCTCGAGATGGGCGAAATGGTGGTGGTTCTGATCCATTTGCAAATGCAGGAATCGGTCCTTTATATTTATTCCTTCCCAAGAAAGCAGTCCTGAAGCAAAGGACTGATTGAAGCAAGTAGAAACACCCTTGAGAAAGAGATGCTTTCCAATGGACCAGGGTGCGAGCATGCGCATGAGGCACTTCCCCAGGGGAGAGGCCGTAGGTCCTGGGAAGGGTGCCCTGGTGCTTTCGTTTACAGGTGAAGAGTGCGCTAGCCCTGACCTTAGCTCCGGCAGCTAATTCGCTCCGGACTCCACCTGGACCCGCCGGCGTTGGTGGAGAGGACAGTGCCATCCTCCGGACGGAAGACCGAGCAGCAAGCCATGATCCCTGCTCAGAGTCCCGGGCGCTCGCCCGCCGCCGTCCCTTAACGCCCGGACCCTGGCCCTCCTCCGCTCTCTGCCCTGAGCAGGGGCCTTGGCAAGTCCACATCAGGACGCCAAGGGTAATTTCAAGGTACAGCAAAAACATATTTTAGGAATGAAATCTGAAGAGAAATGTGTTTTGCGTGCCCGAGTCACATCAATTTGGGAAGAATTCTGATGCAAGAAGGTAAAACGCCAGCTTCAGTAGCAGAAACCAACCTGCCACATCAAAGCCGGCTGCCTGCCTTTTGGTTGAAAACATGGAAGGCAAGCGGATCTGAAGGGCAGCCCGCCGATCATTTTATGGGCTTGGAAGAATGTTTTCAAAGGCCCTACATTGCACAACAACTACTTACTTTAATGGGATTTGTGTGGTTCAGGCCCTGTAACCTTAAGAAAATTGAAGGGAGGTATAATTGCAAAAGCCACTAAAAACTGTTTTAGCTTTTATTGCAAGGCCTATGAAAAGCAGCGAGATGGAGCTGCGGCGGCCACTTGCGTTTCTTTGGTTACACTGGGTTCCAGCTACAGTGAGAACAGCGTCCTCTTAATAGAGGCCCCCATGAGTGGTACAGGGTCACCTAACTGGGCTGTCTGTGGCAGCGTAGACCGGGCTTAGTGCGTCACAAGGAACAATGCCGAGTTTAGCGGCATGTCTCCACTTTCTCAACAGCCTGGCAGGCGTCCTCCGCCCCTGAGTCCTAGCATCTGTCAAAAAGGGGCCCGGTCTCCACCTACACAAATGCCCAACGGCCAGACCCTGAATGTTACAGGATGGTCTCTGATGTACATCTTTTTTTTTTCTTTTCACTGTCCACTTTGCATA